AAAAGAAAGAAACCAAAAAGACACACACACACACACACACACACACACACACACACAAACACACACACACACACACACACACCACACACAGACAAAATGTATACAACTAATCTTCAATACCTTGATTAAAATTCTTCAATTTTTCACAGCTCTGAATAACCCACCCTACTAATCAGTGCTGCTTCAATTCTATAAATACCAGTGTCATGTAAAATATTAACTTTTAGTTAAAAGGCTCTCTTCTGCAGGAAGATCTCTCTTCTCCCTCACTGCCTTTTCACACTAGTAAAATTCCTTCTACTCGTTGGGCAGTGGTGGTGTACATCTTTAATCCCAGCACTGGGGGTAGGGGGGGGGAGCACAGATCCAGGTGGATGGATCTCTGTGAGTTCGAGGCCAGCCTGGTCTACAGAGCCAGATCTAGGGCAGGTACTACACAGAGAAACCCTGTCTTGGAAAAAAAAAATTCCTTCTACTCCTTTCACATTACTCAGTATTACTCAGTATAGGTTGAGGAAACCTAGTTGGCTTGGTGTTCCAAGAGACCGTGTCTGCCTGATTGCCACACCATCCATCAATAGCTGCCTAAGTAGTCGCATGGTTATTTAACCTTTATTCTGTGAATCTAGCACTTAAAAGTAGACTTCATTGCTGAAGGACTCAACAAAGGCTCATTACAAAAAAAGCTACCAAGATATAACTCTTGCCTTAATCACTATACAAAATATATTTCTTAATGAAATGATGAATTTTAGATAACTTTAAAACATTTTCAATTTAATTTTGCATCCTTTTAGTACAGATTAAATAGCACAGGTGATATAAACTTTTACCAAAAGGATAAAAATTAGTGAGTATTGACTGTGAAAAAGACAACGAGCTCTGTGAGGACACACCTACCTCCACGGGAAGGAAAATCAAGACCTTGAGAATATTCTTGTTAAATCCATAGGCTGAAAATGCACTCACCAGATTTGCCAACGCATTATGCACCAGTTTCTTCTGCACTTCTCTGGCTTTCTGCCGCACTGCCAAGGCTGCTAGTCGCTTCTGATTGTCTTCAGCGTGCTTAGCACTCATACATGAGGCGTTACTAGCAGAAAGTGAGAAACCAGCTGTGCTTTGAGGATCTTCCCTGAAAGACAGCTGTGGTGCTTTCTCAAGAGATGCGACGGTGCTTGAAGCAGGGCCTTCTTTCTCTGAAGCTTTTCTGCTTTCAGGCTGATGGCAAGTGTCTCTGTCAGAGTCTATCTTGCGACTCTTTACACTAAGACTTAGGGACTTATTACCTTTTAATGGCAATGCACATGAGAGAGGATTTTGACTTTCCTTGTCAAAACTAGTAGAGGACACTACTTTATGGCTCTGGCTCTCCAAAGCATACCGTCTCATTGGAGGCTGAATGTGGCTTGGGCTGTTCACCTTCTTTGCAGGTTCGCATGAAGTCAGTTTGATGGATGAGCCGTTAGCACACTTGGATCCATTTTCTATAAAAATTCTATTAGGATCTTCATGTTCACTGATACTTTTAAAGGCAGCAGTCTCTTTCAAAGTTTTGTCCACTGACTCCTTTGCATAGAGACCACCTATTCCCTTGAAGGCCTGGAATTTTGGCTTTAAGGTGTTTTCCTCTGGTTTTTGTTTGTTGTAAGTGTTCTCCTCCTCTAGAAGGGAGGCCACAATCTCCTCGGGACAAATACACTGCCGGCCATTGGACAGGCCATAGGAAGTCTTAGGACTCTTGGAGGTAGTATCAAATTTGCAGTGATTGGCGTTTTGGGGGCCATCACTCTCGTTATCCTCTCCTGGAACCTTCTGCTGACCGCCAGCCAACTGTTCCAAATCAGCCAAAGTGAGATTCACTCTGGGACAGTTTCTCATCAAGGCTTTATACTCTTCATCTTCCTCAGACTCTTCACTATCACTGATGTTGGAGTCAGGTGGAAATCTAGGATTCAGAAATTTTACTCCATGATCCGGGGCCGATTCTTTGTTGCTTTTAGTTTTTTGTACTTCAACACAACCATTAGAAGGCTTTACCTTTTTAAAAGAACTTTTCTTGTTTATAGGCTTTTCTGGTTGTGGAGATGCAGTACTGTTTTTCACCTTAATGTTTTTTTTCATTGCAATAATTTCATCTGTATCACTTGAGTCATAGTCATAGTCATTTCCTAAATTGGTTGAAGAATGAGGTTTGTGACTATCTGATTTGAAATCATCCCTCACAACTTCAAAAGGATCATCTTCAGATTCATTTCCCAAGGAATGCCTAGTTTTCTGTAAGTTTTCCTCTTCTGCAATCATCATTTTTAATTCATCTTCAGAGTCAATGTCATCATCAGACATGCTACTTTTATTCCAGATAATTTCAAAGTCAGAAGTCTGAAAAACATGTTTAGGTTTCTGAGTCCCAGAACTGGCCATAAGGAGTGATTTAGAAGGTGTAACGGCACTAGTGGCTTTCCTGTGTGCAGTCATTGGCTGTGGTGATTTGTTACTCTCCATCACCTCATTAGTCCTTAGACTAATCATATCAGAACCCTTCGACTCTGTGGGACCCTTGCTCTTCTGTACTTTCTTAATCTTCTGGGGAGGGAAAGGAAAATCAGAAAACTCTCCTCGACGTTTCTTACTCATAGGGTCATTGCCTCCTTCCAGTTCCCAAGTGAGGTCAGTTATGGGAATGGTTTTTGTCAAATCCTCCGATATCTTTTTTAGGTTGTGGCAGTATTTTGATGGATCATATTTTATAATGTTACTCAGAGTCAAGGAAAAAGCAACAGCACCAGGCATTAGGAAAAACCTACTATTCTGGTGAAACAGGGAAAATGTTTAACCTTGAACAAGTTCTTTATTTCATCTACCTTTAATTTCCATCGAACTAAATGAGGACTCCACATAGGAAGCTTCCAGGGTCTATGAAACTGAATTATAACTATCCAAAGCTAAAGTCACCAACACTGTCAGTTGAGAGAAATTACTTGGATGATAAGTATTACAGCAAACTCTCTGATGTACACACACACCCTCTGCACAGAAGCCCAGGATGCCTGCTTTTTAAGGTCTCAGATAACTGACTTCATGAAACAGACATCAGAATTTGCTCACCTTGGACTCCATACTTCTCCATACACTATTTTCTTGCTTATTGGCCCATTTTTATCGAGTATCTTTTATTGTTTATTTGTTTTGGTTTTTCAAGACAGAGTTTATCTGTGTAGTTTTGGTACCTGTCCTGGATCTTTCTCTGTAGACCAGGCTGGCCTTGTACTCACAGAGATCCACCTGGCTCTGCCTCCCAAGTGCTGGGATTAAAGGCGTGCGCTACCACTGCCCGGCCTAGTATTTTCTTTTTTGAACTACTTTACCCTATCAGCTTTCTTATAAAACTATCTCAAGTCCTCCTAAGTCTTCTGTAACAATGGTCCCTTACTCTCTATTCCTACAGTGCTACATTAGTAATAGCTTGTGAGTCCATATGTAATAATCTTACTATATAGCCCTGGTTGGCCTGGAACTTGCCATGTAGACCAGGCTAGACTTGAATTCAGAGATGTCTGCCTCAGCTTCCTGAGTGCAGGGATTAAAGGCATGTGCCACCATGCTCAGCTTGTAGTAAGATTTATACATTAACAAATGAAAATGCTTCCTTGGCAACCATCATTCATATCACTTAATTGCATAAAACTGCATGTCACTCATTATTCTCAATGTGCTTTATATATGTACGAGAATTAGAGCTTACCTTGAGAGAAAGAGGTAATATGTTGAAGTAATTAAAAATTTATTGATAGAGGCAGTGAAATCCTAAAGATGTTTTGCCATCACTCTGGGAAATAATAATTACTTTGAAATGCTGACCAAAGGATATTTTACGTTTATGTTGATTCTTAAGGTGAAGAACAGGTAGGACTCTTCCAAATTTACTCACAACCCAATTCTAAAAGAAAAAAAAAGACTTATAGTTGTCATAAACATAAATGAAATAATAATATATCAATGTAATTTTTTAAGTTGAACTCACAATGGGGTACTGTGGAGTTTAGTTTTTTGATAATAAAATAAAATGTCTAGAAGAAAAGTATGAAGAAACAAAAATGAAAGAAAATTCCAACTATATCACAGGCAGTATTTTATATACACACATATGCACACATAACTATTAAAAATGTGGCCACGGTCTGGGATGTAGGAGGATACACCTATAATCCCAGAACTCAGGGACATGGCCACTGAAAGCAACTAATGCTCTAGTAGAGGGTCCTAACCTATGCACAAACAGATAGGTACTAAGAGTCAGTAGGTTTAAAAAAAGAGATAACAAATTATGTTGGGAGGCAAAGTACTGGTGGGGTTAAGAGAGAAACTGGAGGGGAAGGAATAAGAAATGGATTTGATCAAAATACATTATATACATGTATGAAATCCTAAAACAAGAGTAACAATAAAACACAACTAGTTCTGAAAAAAGTGGGAAAAAAAGCAATCTTGGGACCTGCCAGTTCATATTCCTACCTATAAAGTGTGGGGAAGTTGTGCTGACTGAAGACTTATAAAAGCATACTGAAACTTAAAAACAAACAGCAAAACCCCCAACCTAGATGCTACCTGCTCCAAAGTGGAGAAAAAGCATCAGTTTTGGATGTCACACCTACAAACACGATGAGTCAGGAGACATGGTAGGCACCGTCACTGGAGGAAACTCACTTTATGTCCTGGTACCTCTGTTCCAGGCACAGCTTTCATATGGAAATCTACTCCTCCTGTCTTTTCCAACAAGG